AGTAGTAGTAATAGTAGTTGTAGTAGTAGTAGTAGTTGTAGTAGTAGTAGTAGTAGTAGTAGTAGTAGTAGTAGTAGTAGTTGTAGTAGTAGTGACTGTCTTTTTTGCAAAGCATTGTTATTATATGTCATTACTATTATTATTGATACTATAATAAGTGTCGCTGGTATCCTTATTGTTATCACTTTTACGATAGTTATAATTAATATTGTTATTTCTACGACTAATTAGTCGATGCTTATCATGAAGTTCTTGTCGGTAGAACCCACATTGTTCTTTACCTGACAGACACTGGTAGAATGTATTCACGCACACAATTTTCCCAGCGCAAGCCTGGTACATTAAAAGAAAAAAATAACTGTAAATGTATGGCTTTAACGATGTTGAGAGCCTCAGAACCTCCACAAAACGACCCGACGAAGAACCCCCAGTGAGGGATTTGAACCAGGGCCATCCGCTCCATAGTCCAGCATGACATCAACTGAGCTAGTAAAGGGCCCTACCTAGTATAAAAGGCCCAAAGCGAGCTCATTGGCGTCTGCGGTGTCGTGTTTAGGCGCTTCGCTATCACACGCAAAGACATGAAAACCGTTGCTCTAAATAACCAAGGTTTGAGTCGCAACGTGAAAGATTATGAGTCTCTCTACCAGTGACTTTGGTGCAGAGGTTAGATATAAGACAGGAGTTGGATTCCCGTGGGGTCAACTCAGGCTGTGAGGAACACGTCCCAACCGAAAGAACGAGATACTCGGTAACAAATTTTATCCACACGGGAATCGGACTTAGATCTAGGTTTTTTATGTGAGAAAGCCAAGCGCCTAACCACTACACCACAGCCGACAGTCTGTCAAACAGTGTACACTACAACTGGGTCAAAGCCCCTGATTGAGACAGTGGGAATATCTATTTTAAAAATGCCGGTAGCCACACCAACATTTATCGGCATCTGTGTTGTAGCGTTCTGGCACTCTGCTGTCGCACGAAGGGGAACCGAGTTAGATTCTCGAATGGAAAGGAATTTTATCGGGTGTCTCTGTCTTTCTGCTGAGATGTTGTATCCTTTCCAGTCCGTGTTGGCCTTGACAGGTAGAGTTGAAAGCCTACATCTTAAATGGTATAAATTGTGTCGACTGGGGCGTAAAAACACAAATATTACAGCTCTCTGTTACCATTTTGAGTCTCCGATGTATCTTGATAACTAAATATTAAAATCAGCGATGGTAGCGACACTTATTTTTTTGCTCTTGAAACTATTGTTTTAGAGATATGAGAAAGTGGAATCAAAACTGTAGGGCAGAGATTCAGTCAAAGAGTTTTTTTTAGCTACTGTATTTGTAACTGTAGGTGTTTTACGACCTTATCGATACTATAAAATATGTATACTTTAGGTGGCGGGCTGCTTTGACTCTGACTGTCAGGGTAAAACCACGCTAATAGAGGGATACAACATCCCAGCAGAAGAACCGAGATACTTGATAAGGATTCTACCCACACAGGAATTGAACAGGGGGCTTACGTTTTCTACGTGTAACTGCGTCAACACAAATGCTATTGTAATAATATCGTGTGTGGATTGTTGAGGATGCTTTATTTAAAGACAGAACTATCATGGGGTTTGCTCTCTTGGTAGTACAAATTCGAATAGACACAGTACTACGGAAACGCCCTAAGACAACCCAAAATTCACAAACGCCCTTTTGAGAATTTGAACATAAATTGCAAAATTGTATTCGTTTTACGTACCTTTCAACACTGTAAGATTATTAAAAGAGACCAGACCTCCGAATTTAACATCCATAACTGTTGAGACCGAGACGAGTTATGTTTGGAGAGCGTTAAAAACTCTCCCAAACAACCTAAGTTCAGAAAGCCAGTTCGGATATTCAAACCAGAGTCATCCGCTCCGTAGTCCAGCATGGTACCAAGTACCAACTGAGCTAACGACGTGCCCTGAGAATTCGAAGCGGGGTCATCATCTACTTCATAGCCTCTAGCATGCTACTAACTGAACTAACAGTGGATATCATGTCCATTGTGCTAACATTCCACCCCAGGTGTATGTGGAGTAGCGGTCAGGCGCTTCATTGTCACACTCAGGAGACCTGAGTTCGATTACCAAGTGGGGATAACATAATTTTGTATTGAGTATCTCCGTCTTTCTGATGGAATGTATTCCTCTATCCAGGGCTGGCCCTGGCTGACAAGGTTAGAAGCCTGCCTAAAAAATGACCTTTATTGTGTCGAGGGGGATATAAAGACACCTAGATCTACATAAAAGTGCTTTGCCAAATATTTGGGGAGATAAACGATTGTTTGATTTAGGTGAAGTCCGTAGACAAGATAACGGTAATGAAAAAGAGAGGAAAACGCATTATACGCTCGCCATTACACACACTGAAGATAATTTAAAGCGTGGGCTTTGACCCTGCCTTTCAGAGCCAGCCCGGGCCGGGAGCGACACAGCATCCCAACGGAAAGACCGAGATACTCGATAAAAATCCTCGTGTCTCTCCTGCGCGCGACCGAGAATTACTTAATGGCTGCACCATAGACGCCGGTGGACAATGTAAGACAGAAACTGAAAGAAAAAAGGGAAAGAAAAGAGTAGGACCTAACCACGGCGCCCTCCAACCACCCACTGTAAATGATAACTGCACTGGCCAGGAGATAAAGTTGTCAACTTAAAAGTTCTATTTCAATGTTGTTTCCCATATCATATCTCGTGTTCTGTTCCCATGTTATTTTTAAAACCTTTGGCTTTAACTTCATGTTACTGCCCATACATTTGATGTAAGGCAACACACAATCTTTCTAAAAATAAACAAGTATGCTCGTAGAGTCATTTGAATGTGAGATTTCTAGATTAAGGTGAACGATGGGCTACATACTGTCCAATAGAATGTACTGATCAACAGAGTGCATTCTTTAAATGAATATATTGTACTGACCAATGGAATAAAATGTACACTGATCAACAAAATATACTAATATAATACTGATCAATAAAATATACTGACCAATAGATGGCACTGATCAATACAATACATTGATCAAAAGAATAATATCGATCAATAGAATAAATTTACACTGACCTATAGAATGTACTGATCAAAAGAATACACTCACCAATAAAGTGCAATGACCAATAGAATACAGTGACCAATAAAACATACTGACCAATATAATGTACTGACCAATGGAATATACCGACTAATGAATTATACTGACAAATAGAATACACCGACCATTAGAATAATATGTTGATCCACAGAATAATATTACAGAGACAAAGACCTACCGTTCAGAAGTCCAGCAGATAATATCCTTGACAAGCGAAGCGTCCTTAAATATATAATGAACTGTAGTTCATTTTTGCAGTTCTGTCGGAAACAACTCGCGACGAAACTTTTCCCCCCTCCTGACTGTCTATATTATGACGTCACACGCCACAAGTTCCCTGCGTGATCCTGCAAGTCAGGTCGTACGAAATAAATAGGTAAAGCATCGTCTAATTAAACGTGTACGCCTCTCGTCAAAAGTCAGAATCATCAATGAAAAAGTAAATGCACAAGATATATTTATTGCTTCGGTATGAAATCAACTTAATTTAAAGATGGCAACATTTTTCAGTCGTTACTTTATCTTAAGCTTAATTGTCTCATGATTCTTTGCGCCTTAATCTAAATTCCAGTTTTTAACATCCGACAATAACACCGGTTTTACCTGAGATCTATTCCTAAAGATTTACAAAAATATCTGTGGTTTGAATCAGGCCTTTTCTTTTCCAAACAAAACGGTGAATTCACGTGACATGGTTGGAGGCACATGAACCGAATGAACCTTTATCACATGTTTCTCTTCCTGTGGCTCGAAAAGACAATGGGAATGGAACACCAGCCTTCTGAAGCCGACGTGAAAGTTATGAAAGAACTAGCGAGGTAACATCTAGTCGGAGGTAGTTGGTGTTGCGAGCAATGAATTTGCTGGTGAGTGCATAACCGTGCTCACCCACAGAGAGAGGGAGGGAGACGCTCAGCTAATACGTGCTCTGTTGATATGTGGGGACGACAAGACCGCTAGGCTTGAGAGAGAGAGAGAGAGAGAGAGAGAGAGAGAGAGAG